ATTAAGATCTTTGACCAACTCTTTAAAAAAAACGGAAATGTAGAAAACGCGGAACACATATGAGAAGAAAAAACAAAAACTCGTCGCGTGTCGTTTATTCAATCACGCCGCTGTTATCTCCGAAATCTGTGCCCCCTGGGGTAATCCCCGAGCAAAGCGTTATCAAGGAACCGGTGCTCCTCAAGCGGCCTTCCCTCCGAGGAAAAAATAAAGTGAACGAAAGCACCAGCCCGGTGCTTCTGCACGTTTTGCAAATAGGCAATGAACTCGTAGACACGTAGAAGAAACGCTACAAAATTGCCGGTACAACTGACAGTTATTGTATGTAATACTAGCACTGACGAGGCCTGACTGCGTGACCCAAGTTATGGGTGGCTCCAGTTCGCTATGAACAAGCAGTCGTGATAACCCCTTTTGAAGTTGAATGTGAACGAGTTCGTTGTCTGTTTAGAAAATAGTAACGGGCTGCAGGTAGTTTTACTTTCACCCTACCAGCACCCAGCTCTTTAATGTCTATTTTCGATTCTAAACCGTAGCAGTTTTTCAATGTATTGTTACAATTCAACCTTCGCCTTTCCAGAGATTTCATCATATAATGGACAGCCGATTGCAAGTGTACTAAGCTTGCGGAAGGGCATGCATAAGGAGTCATTCAGAAAGTACGCCCGTTTTTTTCTCAGATTCATTCGCCAAATTCCGGCGCCTGCAAGACTCCGGGTAGGCCTCCCCGCCGTACACGAATGCTCTGCAAGCAAGATGTTGCCTACCTATAAGGGGCCATAAGAGCTCACACATGCTAAACTTGGCCATTTCATATTGTGTGAACGACGGACGTACTTTCTGGAAGATCCCTAAGCGTAAGAGCGTGTGCGTGCGTGTACTGTGCGCGCGCGTGCGTGGGTGTGAGTGCGTGCGTGTGCACTGACCACAGGTCACCAGAGCACCGGGGGAGCCTAGGCTAGTCGGACAGGAGGACCGACGACCTCGGGCTTGATAGCGCGAGCCGACAAACCGGGAATGACCCAAAGCAGGGGACGACATAGGGAACCACAGAGGACCACAG